CTGAAAATGAGTTGAATCCGTTGAAATTTGTGAAATACCTACTAAAGTGATTGAATTGGTTGAACTCTTGAATTATGAAAAAAAAATGATATACTTCATAAAAAAAAGTATATATGAAAATAGCTAAAATGACCACCTTTCTCTAAATTTTTCAAATCAATCACAACAATAACTTTAACCTTATTTGTTTTGATTATTACATCAAAAGCTAAGCATTTTAGAAAGGCTTAAGGGTCAAATAGGCTCATGTACCGGCCGTGTAAACTCAATTCAGTCCCTGAACTAAAAAAGGTTCAATTCGCAACCCGAACCGACAAAAAATGGTTCAAATTTCATTTTTTACGGGTAAACAATCGGTCATTTTTTTAATTTTTTATCGTTTCTGTTTTTTATTTTCGATTTATTGCAATTTTGACACTTTTTAATAGTGTTTAAGGGTGCGAATTGGTCCTTTTTACCGGTTGTTTAGATGTAAAATATGAAATTTGAACCCTTTTATGCCGGTTCGGAGTGTGAATTGGACCTTTTTTTAGTTTATGGATTGAATTGAGCTTACACGACTGATACAATGACCTATTTGAGCCTTTAGCCTTATAGAAAAAAAGGCGATCGTAAATCCATAGACTGAAGACATGATTTATCAAACCAACATTTAACTTCATTCGTGGGCAATGCACGGATCAATTCACTACTAAAATTATACTCATTCCGTCATATTAAAAGATTCTCACTTTCTTTATTTGAGTGTCTAATTTAAGGGTTCACATTCCATTGTAGAAAACAATTTACATTCTTTAATTACATCTTTGCTCAAATCCTCTTTCATACTCATTACATGTCAAGTCTTACAATTCTTCTCCAACTTATCTCTCTTTAATTACTTTCACTTTCACTTTATATGTTTACATTTATCAAATTTTATATTTTTTTCTTTTTCACTCAAATTACTTTATTCGAACAACTTGTCAAAAAAATCATGTCTTTTATATACGAAAACTTCCGATGGGAAGGAGGGAGTACATAAATACTCCTTGATACTTGGTCATTGGGTCTTGACTCCTGAATACTCCTTGATAAACACATAGTTTTTGAATCTTAATTTTTAATTAAAAAAGAAACATAATGGAACTCTTTTCTTGAACAATTGGGTATTATTATTTCCCACCCAATTTTTAACCCCTTTTCCTACCATTTCTCCACAGATTGCTCTCTCGGAAACTCTGCATTTGAATAGTCAATAAGAATGGATCACTCTTATCTTTATACTTTGATTGAGTTTCACTCCATAAAAAAACAAGAACAAAGCAATAAAAAAAGTTGATTCCAGCTCGATTAGGATCTTCTTCTTCCAGTTGCCCGCTCCATTTTATTTTCCTTGTACCTCAGATTGGATTTGTATAGAGCTGCAACAAATCCTTACTTGAAAGGAAGAGAGCACCTCAAGCAAAGAGAAAGAGAGAGGTAAAGTTAAGGAAGATGTTTCTTAGTATTGAGCTGCGGAATTCTTGTGCTCTGCAGTATATTCAAGATTCAAGAAAAAAGGCTTTTTGGTTATTTATTAAGGAAGGAGGGTGGTAGAAGGTTCTATCTTGTCATGTAAGTCATCTTTCTTTGTCATTCAAGAATTACTCTCGCTGTCTGCCTTTCAGTAATGCTGAGATTTCAGTAATGCTGGATCTTATTGGGTTTTTGTTATGCTTTGGATTTGGTAGAGTGAGTTTCTTGTAATTCATCCATTTGTTCAATTACTTTGGTACTGAAGAGGATTAACATTGGATTCAGTTAATAAAATTTGTTTAAAAATTGAGCTCTCCTAAAAGTTTGAATCTTGGGGTTTAAGCATGGGAAAGCAAAGTGGAAAAAAGAAAAAACAGAGAGAGGGAGTTAAATCTGGAAAATTCGATGTGAAGAAAAACCAAGGTAATGTAAAGGGGGGAGCAGGGGTGTACGATGAAGATATGGTCGTGTTCATGTCAATGTCCCGGGAACTGAAGGAGGGGGGAAACAGGTTGTTTCAAAACAGGGATTACGAAGGGGCGATGTTTATGTATGGCAAAGCTATAAAGCTGCTTCCAGGGAACCACATAGACGTGTGCCATCTCCGTAGTAATATGGCAGCTTGTTATATGCAGATAGGGTTGAGTGAATATCCGCGGGCAATACACGAGTGCAATTTGGCTCTTGAAGTTTCCCCAAATTATATCAAGGCGCTTCTGAAGAGAGCCAGGTGTTATGAGGCATTGGATAAGCTTGACTTGGCATTGAGAGATGTTAGAAGAGTACTGCAGGGGGAGCCAGATAACCTTATGGCCACGGAAATTGCGGAGAGGGTGAAAGCAACACTTGTGCAAAAAGGCATCAGGCCATATGACAACATTTCCATTTCAGAAGTACCCGAGTATGTTGAACCGCATGTTGTTTCCACTTCTCTGAAAGCTTCTTCAAAAGAGAAGGGGTGGAAGAACAAAAGCTTCAAAATAGAGATGAAGGAAGAAGAGGCCCAAGATAACAAGACTTTTGAGAAGGCAAAAGTTGAAAAAGGAGCTCTTGGGGTTGACAAAAGTATGAATCCCAAGGATAAGAGAGGTGAGGATAAGAAGATCAAACAGGTGGTTGTTCAGGTGAAATGTGGTGGTGACAAGAACTCAGAAGATGGACTCCATGTCCAGAAGGCCAAGATTAAAAATGTGGATAAAGCCAAGAACAAAGTAGTTGTGGATGGTGAAGGTAAGAGAGAACGAAAGAAACTGGAGGACGAAAGCAGTGGAAATAAAGACAGGTACAGTGATGCTGTGGAGATAAAAACTGAATATAAATTGGTTGTTGGAGAAACTAACAAGGACTTGGAAAATGAGACATCTAGACGAATGGTGAAATTGATATTTGGGGAGGACATAAGATGTGCCCATATTCCTATCAATTGTGGCATTATGGAACTGAAGGGGATCATACATGATCGGTTCCCAAGCTCCAAATCTTTTCTAATGAAATATAAGGACCAAGAGGGTGACTTGGTAACAATCACATCAAGTGAGGAGTTAAGGTGGGCAGAAACATCATCAGCTGTTCAACACAGTTCTGTCAGGCTGTATATTGTGGATGTCACTCCAGATCAAGATCCTTTATTTGGGAAGGTTAGGGAAGATGATGAGCTGAAGCATAAAGTAAAACAAAATCATAGAATGGCAAACATAGATCAGCTTGGAAGAAGTATGGACTTGCACAATAGATTAATTTGTATTGATGACGGGATTGTTCATTTTGCTGAACTGTTCATGAACTATGTCGGATTCGAATTTGATACTTATCTGGAGCTACAAGGAGTTGGGATGAAGCACCTCCACTCAGAGGCTATGGAAAAGATGGTCACAAGTGAAGAAGCTCAAGATCTTTTCCTTACTGCTGGAGAAAAGTTCCAGGAGATGGCTGCTCTGGCTTTGTTCCACTGGGGAAATGTTCACATGTCCCGTGCAAGAAGAAGAGTTCACTTATTAACTGAAGAAGACAAGTCTGGAGGAGGAGCTGAATCTGCCTTCTTAAAGCTCAAGTCTGCCTATGTTTGGGCAGAGAAGGAATACTCAGCTGCACAGAGGAGGTATGAAGATGCATTGAAGATCAAACCTGACTTTTATGAAGGTGTTCTTGCTCTGGGGATTCAACAGTTCGAAGTGGCAAAACACTCTTGGTATTATGCAATTAGTACCAATGCTGATTTGGAATCGTGGCCTTCCATAGAAGCATTTCAACTTTATAACAGTGCTGCGGAAAATATGGAAAGAGGTATGCATATGTGGGAGGAAGATCAAAGTGACATGTCTATATTAAGCAAAATGCTAATCGTCTTGCGAAAAATGAAGTTGGACTTTTTGTTCAGAGAGATATCTGCAGACGAAGCAGCTGATCAGGCTGCAAACATGAGGTCTCAAATTAATCTGTTGTGGGGTTCCATGCTGTATGAGAGATCCATGATGGAATTCAAACTTAAGTTGCCTGCCTGGCAAGAGACTTTAGTGCTTTCTGTTGAAAGACTTGAACTAGCTGGAGCTTCTCCAAAAGATATCGCAGTTATGGTGAAGAGCCATTGCTCCAGCACCACCGCACAGGAAGGTAAAGACTAAAGAGAATCATGTGGTTGCTTAGATCTGGTTGTGACTAGTAAATACTATTTCGTTCAGGATGGATATTTTTAATGCCTTAAATTTCAGGCATAGGGTTCAATATTGCTGAGATAGTAGAGGCATGGAATGAGATGCACGGAGCAAGAAGAAGGCAGAGAGATGTTCCATCTTTTCGTTTAGAACCATTGCTGCAGAGAAGAGTTCCTAAACTCTCTCATGACCCAAGTTAGCAACAAACAAGAGCAACCACTACCTATACAGTTGCTGCTTTGCTTCTGCCATCCACTTTTTTATGCTCCCTAGCTACTATATTATGTAAGTCAACCCACATGCTTCAAATATTTTTCTTATAAAGGAGATTGAGTGAAAGTCTTCTTTTTTGTTCTCTTTTTGTTTGTTTGTAAGGTTTATATGGTTTGCAGTTTATGTTTACGGAAATTCATTCAGCTAGAACCTTAACATGGATTACATTGACGTTCGGGGTCAAAATGTTGCTCTGATGCGAACTTTTTATGGCAACATAATAAAAGCCTTATTTCAAATTTTCAATATAGTGATATACCCACAGGTAATCAATATTGGAAGTCTTTAAGCCTACTGCATAAGTGCATAGTAGTGCAACTACATGCTTTCTCACATGAACAAAGGTGGTACTTAAATTTCTCCCTCCATGGCTCCATATATTTACAGCGTTTGGTGGTCAAGTTTTTGGTCCTCACTCATGCTGAAGTGTTTGTACCACATTCTTTAGATATAAAATAATAATTCAACATATAATATCATGTGTTATTCCTTAAATACCTATTGGTTCAAAAACATGTTTGCAACTTAAGTAGTGAAGATAAACACAATTTCCGTTCATATGAAACAGAAGTTTGCCCACTAATATATTATTATTAATCACAGCTGGCAGAGTATTTTGACTTTATATGTGCTTTTATTTTTCTATAATAATTCCACAATACACGAAACTGGTCAATGAGGGTAGACAAAAAGTACTACAAAAACATGGTCTTAGAGCTCCGGACTAAACTTCATGAGGTTGGGAAGGGCGCTCAGCTGTAGCTTTTGAAGCTCATCTGCAGTTACACTATCATTGCAACAGTCTAAAGAAAGGGAGCGCAGGTTCTTTAAAGACTTGAGATGCTGCAGGCCATTGTTGGTAATCCGAGAATAAGAGACATTAAGAGACACCAACCCTGTTAGCCCTGCCATTTCTCAGTGTGACACTTGTTAAGATCTCACCACTTAAACAATGTTATTGAGGGGGGAAGGGTGGATCACTGCATGCATACCTGACAAGTGATGCAAGGTCATATTTGTCAAGCTGGGGTTCTGTGATAGGTTTAGTACCATCAAGAAAGAAAGATGTTTTATGTTCTTGACACCATCATCTGTTAACCCACCCCCACATACATCCAGTGACTGGAGATTGTTGAAATCTGTTGAAGGAACCATAAAGAAAATTTCACAAATCAAACGGGCTTGACATTCTGTGACAGATTTATTTCTTCCGAAATCGATAGATACAACCCCAATAATATTTTAACATACATGGCAAATATTTTGTCCCAGAATCTGTTATATGAGCTCCAAAAAGGTCCAGGTGAGTTAATCCAGTTAACCCTGCATCGGAATGACCATTTTTTTTCATTTCCTACCAACAAATTCAACGGCCAGAACAGTGGGAATGGTATGAGGAACTAATTCAATTCTAATGAAACTGAATACAAAATATCACAGCATACCTGTAAGTGCAGCAACACCTGAATCAGTAATATGGCGAATATCCAGATTAATTGACCTTAAAGATCTTAATCCACACAACTTTTCCAAACCATCATCTGTGACTAAGGTGAATGACAGGTTCAGATCCTCCAGATTGATCAAACCTAAAACATATTGGTCACTCAAAATTAAATTATGAACTTAAACAAATCACCAGTTGCTTTCTTTTTCGTTATCAACGTGCTTAACCTGAGAGATGCTGAATCCCATAATTTCCAATTTTATCATGCGACAGCTCCAAAATTTTCAAGTTAATAAGGCCTGAAAGACAAAATTTGATGGGGTTGTTATCTTTATTATTATTAAAGAAGGTACCACAAGTGCTCCCGGATGTGCTTTTCTCTCTATTACTCCGTATTACTACCTCCATCCCCCTAACATTGGTATAATAGGAGGTGGTGCGGTTTTCAAGAAAAGTGAGTTTATGTGATGATATTGAATTGATAAAGGAAAAATAAAGTATGCATGTTTTTGGCACTACACAAACATTACCAAATTTGGTACGGGACAATCTTAGCGGGATGGAGGGATTGTTATTATTATTGTTGTTTTTGTTTTTTGGGGGGGAGGGGGGGGGGGGGGGGGGGGGGCTGTTAACGTATTGCACAGCTATACCTGCTAAATTAGCTAGCCCATCGTCCCCAATCCGACAACTATCCAAGTTCAGGCACTCAATATTTGTTAACCCTGGAACATAGAAAAACCAAGATTGACCAAATAGTTACTACTAACTAAATGGTTTGAAATTGGGTGTCTTCTTAATGCAGTATTTGAAATATAATTATTTACTACTGCTTATTTATTGAAATACTGATTCAGAAGCATGCAATACAATAACCCAATGATTGATTAATTTCTGGAAAAGAAGAGGAGATTAGATAATTAACCTTGTAGATGGACCAAACATTCATCAGTAATATTGTTATGTCCTATGTTTAACACCTTCAATTTGATCAGCACTGCAGGTGGCCAAAAAACCATAACTAAAAACTATGATTAGGGGGGATATGTCTAGGCTGCAGCAGATTCTATATCATCATTCAACGTACTTGAAAATTTCTCACAGCCGGCATCCTTCAGGTCTGTTCTACTTAAATTGAGATACTGCAATGAACAAAGTACTGCATGCACAAAATGATTAAGCAAACCAACAAAATATTAACCGCTCCTAAAGTAGTCGATCTAACAAAAGAAAATTTAGAAAGATGCACATCCAAACTTAAAGCAAAGTGAAGGGATAAGAGAAAGAAGTATGTTGCATGCACCTGAAAGATAATCCAAAGATGCAGCAGTAATGTGGCATCCCTCCATGTTTAACAAGCCAAGCTTTCTCAGACCTGCGGAAAAGCAATCAAGCAGGCAAACTGCATTATTGAATGGTGGAAGAGTGAGTGATGAGAAAGGAAGCAGAGTTGCTACACAGAGTATGTAGCCAAATATCAGTCCAACCATCATAAACACAAGCTATGCTAGGCAGAAGGAACTATCCAGCAAGCTGTTCTATGAATGCATGTCAGGAACAAGTGATACATGGGATTTCAGGATGATTTCATGTAAGAGGAACAGCATGCACTTATAAAAATTAAGACGTTTAGGCTTGATCATCAAGCAAGTTTGTATTGTACACGCTTGCAGGCATATGTAAAAGTAATATTTCCAATTCGATTAGATCCGCCTAGAAATAAGATTTATTGCTTTGTAACAGCCTGATGAAGTCAAAGCCATATACAGATAGCAGCAGCAACAGGAGACGATACCTTTCAAATAGAACACCCCAGCATCTGTCAGGTTAACATAGGAAGTCTGCAGTTCCTTCAAATTGACAAGCCCTGATTAAGCGAGGCACAAAAAAAAATCAGCAAGAACAAAAAAGTGCATCAGCAGCAGGTATTTGACCATTCTTGATGAGGATGATATATATATACCTGCAAGAGATTTCATGTCTGAATCCACTATGCATTTACAACCTCTGATGTTGAGAGATTCAAGTGTGGTTAAATCTGTCAAAGCAGCAGGCCAGGGTTAAATAAACTGCCAAATGATCCATCAACGAAGAAAGAGCTAGGTACTCATTCCATAAACACTTCTCACATCTATTACACAGTGATGACAACAAATCAGATGAAGATGACTAAACATTCTAGCTTCTTAAGACAGAAGACCTACACACGATAACAGACCTTCAATATGAACGAGTCCTCCATGGACTCGAGGGCACCTCTCTATTTCCAGCTTTACCAAATTGACTAAACTGGTAAGAAACCGCATTTGCTCAGCAGTGGCTGTCATGCTGTTTTTGATACCCAAATGTGTCAACTTGTGGAAGCCTGATCAGGACCAGCATTATAATATATTCATACCAACTTCAGCAAGCAATGCATATGGCTAAATGCTAATCATTATCAACACATACATATGACTTGGGACTTCAGAACAGTCATATTTTGTTCAATCTTTATAAGGTTAAAATACACAAATTTGAGTACACTATTATTACTGATTTATTGTCATTATTATAGGCATCAAAGTAAAAAAACTAACCACCAAAATGAAAACAATGATTATCATGGGACACCTGATTCTCGGTCAAATATTCAAATAAGGAAGCATAGAGTTTTAGAGATCGAGAGGAGCATATAGTGCGAAGTGTGTGCATACCGCTTACTTGCTTCAGTCCATTTCCAGTAATTTGATCACAATGTCTAATGGTTAAAGCTTGGAGGTTTGAACAATTCTCAAGGAGGAGAAAGAATGAACCATCTGTGACCTCAGCGCTCGAAAAATCAAGAGAGAGTAAGGATGATCCTTGTGAAGCAATGACATCAATCCAACTGTCACTCACTCCTGGATATTCTCTAAGGACCATATCCTGCATGTCAACAACACTCAAAATAAAAAGAAAATACCCCCCACTCAACGTGTGTATGCTCGTTGTTAAGGTTTACCATGATTGACTTGCTTGTAACTTAATAAACTCCCATACCAAACTAGGACTCGTGGTTCTACCTATAACACAACCTACACACGGAGTATTCCAATACATTATATGTGTATTTCTATCTTTATATTTGGTCGGTGTTATTTCCATCATTTCCAATGGAGCCAAAGACTCACTGTTTTTTGGCTTGGGAATATGAAGGAATAGAGAAAAATGACTCACTAAACTGTATGCACTTCTTTATTATGAAGCAGCAGTTGATCCATGCAATTTTCAACGTGATTTTCATCATGGGTCATCCGGAAATAATCGCTCCCTGATTTAGTGCAGGGGTAAGGTTGCATACATCCGACCACCCCTTACCCTGCCGTAGGTAGGAGCCTTTGCGGCACAGGGGTAATGTTGTTGTATTTGGTCGGTGTTGGAAGGCTTAACAAGACTTACTTGCAATGCACAGTGTCTAAAGGCTTCAATGGAGTTGTCTGAAAGACAGCACGAATAAATGAGATCATTGAATATCAATTGGCTGACATCTCTTGGCAAGATAGAAAAGGAACCATATCTCCTAACATCCTGTTAAATGCATTAACACATCAGTAAGGATTAAGAACCATATAGAAGCATTAAAACAATAAGAGTGAATTCCCAAAATAGGAGTAAAACATACTCAAAGTGCAAAAATATGAGTCAACGTTTAAAATTCACTGAATAGGAGTAATTTGTGATTGGACAAAAACACAATTGTAAGGGTTCAAGCTTGGTCACCACCTCAACGGACTATCGCCATTGTCGGTCACCGGACTGTTCTGGTTATGCTCGGGAACTGTAACCATGTTTTAGTCCTATTTAGGACAATTTCTCAAACAATAACTATAACCATGTTTAAGGGTAGAAATGTAATGTTTAGTCCTATTTAGGGAATATAAAACGTGGACTCTTATTTAGGAACTTTGACCATGTTGTAGTTCTATTTAGGGCAATTTTTCAAACAATAACTATTACCCAGGCCATCAACCTGGCTATAGCCTTTAGCTAGATAGACCTCTCGAATTTTGTGAATGCATAGCTCCATAAGAGATCGAGAAACGCTTCCTTCAGGACTACAGTCCACAACCAGTGGAAAGAAAGAGGATGCCAGCCACTTTGAACTCCGGCATTTGAAGTATCTGCCGGAGGTGCCTCTCCTGTGTAGATGTTCATCGGCATTGTAGTACTCTCTCTTCAACGAACAAACACCACCCATCAAGGAAACAACTCACTTCCCACTCACTTATAGCTTTCCTGTAAAAACAATACTAATAAGTGAGAATTTCTTAAAAAGTTCAACAACTGCCATTGTCATTCAACTCAATCACTCCTGAAGGACTAGCTAAAAGAACTATTAACTACTTCTATAACCTTTTAGCCTATTCTAATACAAAACAAGAATACTCCAAATGAGGCATGTTATATTCCCATTTGGAGTATTTTCTATAATAATAACAACCAAACTATTTGAGAGAAGAGGGGAATAAGAAATTGATCAAAACAGGAATAAAACATAGACTAAGCTCACAAATAAGACTAACTAGATTTTGTTCTCAAAATATGACTTATTTAGTTCTAATACATGAAAAATGAATTCTTCTTTTAGGGTTGAATGACTCATATTTAAGAGAAAAACCAATGGTGGTCCTCTTTTGGTCTTAGGGAATTTTCTCGTTTTAAGTCGACAGGTCTACAATCAACAGTCCAACTGTAAACAATGTGCAGAGTATAAAGAGCAGCCCGCTGCACGTGCACGAAGGCATACCGCAAGGAGAGAGTTCGGGGAAGGGTCAGGGTGTATAAAGGGCCAGCTTTCCCGTGTATCTCAGTAAATAATGTATGAACACAAAAAAAACAAATTATCCTCAACTCCTCAATAACATCACTAACATGTTTTGTAGAATTCACTTCTATTCATGTTCAGTCATATGGAGATTGGAGAGAACCAAATAAGCAATGATGTTGATATATGTCATCAGAATCAATTTTCCCAAATGAACAGAGCAAAAAAAAAGAAAAGAAAAAGTAATTAATACTAATAGACCAAAAATATTTCTGGATTATGAATGTAAATACTAGTAGGAAGATACCTTAAGTCAAAGAAAGTTGATCGACCAGATATTTGAAATCTTTAGTTGATATCAAGAAACGGTTTTTATAGCGATAGGATGCAAGAGAGAAGGTGGAAGTGAATTTGCTAAAAAAGGGTGTGATGACGTATGAGGATGAGCAGAAACAAAAACCCAGGAATGAGCTGATGAGTTGACTGTTGAGTGTGGGTTTTTTCCACGTGTCCGTGTCTTTGTCTTAAAGTATAGTATACCTTTTTGTCTTTTAAGTAGCAGAAGAAGATAAGAGCATTTATAACCCCAATTCCGGCGGGTAAGATTGATTACAGTTACCATTAACCCAGCCGGCAACTGCTCGCTCTCCATATTTTATTCGGCTTCTTTAGTTCTTTTCCTCCCCAAGAGGCACCCGTTAAAATCGTTTACTTTGCTCCCTACGTTTACCTCCATCCTCCTCCTTTGTGCTTTTTGGAAACAACACTGCTCCCCCGCACTCACTTTCACTTGCACGTAATAGATACTCCCTCGGGTCCTTAAATGTTCTTCCAAATTAAAGTGGCAGGGTGATTAAGAAAGTAGAAATTGTGTAGTGGAGAGTTGTGCAGAGGATCGAGAAATGCTGTGAAACACAAATTCTTTGCCAAAAAGGGAAAGTGAAGTTCTTTTTGGGACGGACGAAAATGGAAAGTTGGAAGTAAATTTAGGGACGAAGGGAGTACTTTTAAAGCATATTAACATAAGATTAAAAAAATCATTTTCACTTTGTTGAGGTATATTATCCCGGTCTGTTACTGTTTCGGAGCCCAAAGCATCGCCCCGGTACGGAGCCCAACCGACGAAGGCCATTTCAACCTATCAGGCCTGTTTCATTCATTTGGGCCCATTTCGGCCCACTCGGCCCATTAGGGTAGCCTTGCACCCTCCCCATTTCTCTATAAATAGAAGCTTTCCCACCATGTTTAGGGACTTTTCTCTTCTTCCCCACACCCCACTTCTCTCTAAAGCTTGGAGCTCCATTAATGGCTATCAAGGCTCAAACTTGTACATTGTAATGGTGAGGAGAGATTAATGAGAATGAGAGAGCTTGGACATTAGTCTAAAAAGTCCCGTGTTTTTCTCCCTTTCGGATTTCCACGTTAAAATCATTGTTTATATTTTGTTATCATCAACATGTTACGAAACCCTCCCGGAAGAGGTGTTGGACTCCTGGACTGCGGCGGATAAACACCAACACACTTCAATATTTTTGGAAAGAATTCTAGTAACAACTTATCTTCAAATTAGAACTTATAATGAGAACTTATAATATCAACTTTTCATTCATTGTAATTTTTAGTTAATATTCATAATCACTCTAAGGATATGTATGGCAGTTTGGGGAGGGTAAGATGATAGCTTTGGAGGTTAGTCGTAGGAGGTGAAAGATGTCATTTATTCTTGTTTGGGAGTTACATATTTAAAAAGAAATTGAATAAAGAAGAATTGTAATTCCAATCGCTTTAAATATATGATGAATTCAAATAGTTAAAGGAAAATGGGCAAAAAAGAAACCCTTTAAATTGTCATTGAAGGGCATCTAAGCCCTTGAATTATTTTTTTGTGCAAAAAGCTTCAAAATAAGTGAAAGGAGGGCAATCACCCACTTATTAACGGTAAAACAGTTAACGGAAGTTAGTCCTTTGGTCATTATGACTGTATGTAGCACAATTTTAATCTGACAGTATTTTTGATATTTTTCTTTTAATTTCAGCTTGTGCTCTATTAATGCTGTAAATCTAGAATATTTTGGTCCTAAAATCAAGACATATTTCCTCTCTTTTTAAATAAATGTTACAATAATCCGAGCTCTGACCTCAGGGAGCTCGGGGTCTCACTAGACACTATGGACTTAAGCAATATACGAAAGCAAATGCTGCACAAGGCCGCTGCCACATCATCAGTACCCTAAGATGTGCCACGTCACTCCCAGTGGATAGAAAGAAGAATATTCCGGATAATACATGTGCAGCCCGCACGTGTATTCCAGTACAAGTTTGTTACATTCAGTTCCAATCAGCCAGTTGTCCCAATTATCTCTCCAATCATCTTTACACATGGCAACACACCATTAGATCGGTATGTTTAGTCTGTTAGACGGGCAGGACACGTGTCCTCTCCACAATAGAATATCATCTTTTTTACTTGGGCACCAAGAATTAGTCCTTTAGTATAAATATCACCTTCCAACCTGTGGAAAGGGATCGACAATTAGACTCTCTTGTTGTTACTCTGCTAAAATATTTACTTGATCTCACTTAGCTTTTCTGATCTTCTCCTACTACATTTCCGGATTCCGGCTACCCCCAGGGTCGGCGATCCATCAGTTAGATTTAGTGTTGGTCCCGTTTATACAAGGAACAGTCTAGAGCGGGGGTGAATAGACTGTTCAAATTTTCAAACTTTTCTCTAAGTCTGAAAAGACTTGACAGAGAAGGTCGAGTTCTGGTGGCAGAACTGGACCTGGCAGCGGATATATTCTGGTAGATGTTCTGGTCGGGTAGCCTTCGAAAAACACTAAGGCAAATGTCTTTCTGTTAACTCTTAAGACGAGATCTACTGAACACAAAGGCCAAGTCTTTGAGAGTTATTCAGTTAGAATCTTAATGCAGAAAAGTAAATAGCGTAAAGTAAATGACACCAGGGATTTTTATAGTGGTTCAAGGAACAACGCGTTCCTCTAGTCCACTGTTCCACTAAGCTTGTGTAAGGAATATCTGTAATTAGATTTTGATGATGCTAGATTAATTAGGACTTTAGAGTACCCCTCTTTAGACTTAATGTATTAGAATTTTCATTTGTAAAGTTCTTAGTTTAATCGACTTAGCAGAAAGCCTCCAAACCAGAAGACCTCCTAAAGCAGAAGGGCTCCAAGGGAAGAAGACCCTTATTAAGGCATTGTTGAACAGAGGACCTTTGGTTCTCTGCTCCAGAACAGAAGACCTCAGGGTCTCTGTTAACCTTTACTCTGACAGAAACCCTCCTGGTTCTCTGTTAGATATCCTCTCAACAGAAGTGCTCCAGACCTTCTCTGATCAACTCTCTGTTAAAGACACCAGAAGGCCTGACACTTAGAAGAATTCCACAAAGCCGGGAAATCAACTGAAAGATTCCTTCAACGGCTAGGAGTCTTGAACGGAAAAGCTACAGTGCGCGCATTAAATGCACATTTAATGCTCCCCATGCTCCGTAGAGTAACTGCAGATGATTGGCCGCAATGTCAGGATTACCTTATCCCAAAATAGTAACCCGCCAACTTTACCGGATCCTACTGGTCAAGTCAACTGCTCGCTCATTTAATGCAGTTGTCCTCCTTCTCCTCCAACGGGAAGACAACCTCAGTATAAAAGATACATTACGAAGAACAACCGAATAACTTTGCAAATTTTGCTAACCTTTGCTACAACTCTGCATATACAAGAAATTCAAACGCTACATAGCAAAAAGCCTCCTTGAGATTAACACTTCATCATCCTCTACAAGAGAAGGCAGAAGTTGGAAAAATCCTTATTTCCAACTCAAGCAAAGTTCCAAGTGTTCTTCAACTCTTCAAGCTCATCACATACAAACTCTTTGTAACGAAGCAAGTTGGAGGAACCCCTGTTCTAAATAGAACCTCTTCTTTCACAAGAAGGACGTCCAAGTATCTGGAGCTGTGAAGTGGTGATACTTCTGGAAAGCTCAGTGAAAGGACCAGTCTTAGGGAAGCCGGAAGTGCATCCAAGGAGACATCTACACTTGAAGAAGACGTGGAGAGCTTCTTAAGTGATAGGGCTAAGGCATTGTAAACGGAAGTTTTTACGAGCTTAGTGGAACAGTGGACTAGAGGAACAAGTTGTTCCTTGAACCACTATAAAAAGCCCTGGTGTCATTTACTTACTGCTTTTCATTCATAGTTTTTATTTGAACTGTTTGACTCCAAAGACTTGGTATCTGTGTTCAGCAGAACTGGTCTTGTGAGTTAACAGAAGGCCTACTGCCTTTGCTTCTTTGAGGCTATTAACAGAACTCCCTACAAGAATCCCATCCGCTGCCAGTCTGTTCTGCCAACAGAACAGGCTATTCTGTTAAATCTGGTACTTAGCTTGAAAAAGTTAAAAACCAATACAGTCTATTCACCCCCTAGACTGTATCCAGTACAACCGGGACCAACAAGTGGTATCAGAGCCTCCTTGTTCTAATAATCTCTTAGGTTATTTGTTGAACAAAGATCCACTTGTTTTTCTGTTTTATCTCATTTTTATCTGATATAATGGATCACTCCTTGTCCAAGAATCTTATGTTTTCAGATCTTAAGTTTGATGACTGGAGGATCCGGATGAAGGCACATCTCTGTGCTCTTCATGATGAGATGTGGGAAGTTCTTGACATGGGACCCTTCACAAGCTTCCAGAAGGTCAACCCTGAACATGCTATTGACAACACTAGACCTCAGATGATCAATAAGGCCAGATCTGAGTGGACAACTGAAGAAAGAAGGAACTACAATCTGGACAACATTGCTAAGGACATTCTTTACAAGTCCATCGATGATAGGTACTTCAACAGAATAAAGAAGTGCAAAACAGCAAAGGAAATTTGGTATACTCTTGAGCTCATTGGAGCTGGTGATGAGCAAGAGAAGGACAACAAGCTGACAATAGCCAACAAGAAGTTTGATGACTTCAAGCTTCTTCCTGGTGAAAGAACCTCCAAGATGTATGACAGGCTCCTCACTCTCACTGGAGAAATCTCTGAGCTTGGCAAGGAACTCACCATCAAGGAGATCAACCTGAAGGTGTTGAGGGGACTGCCCTCAGCATGGAAGATGAAGGTGGTTGCTGTTCAAGCCAGCAAGGATGTGAAGATTTATCCCACTGATAAGCTCATTTCAGATCTCAAAGCTCATGAGTTTGAAATGATTGAAGAAAAGGAAGATGTACCAGAAGAGAGGACCACTACAGCCCTCACTGCTAGCACATCAAAGGTAAATGATTTTGACCCTTAAGTACTCTTATCTGACGAATATATGGCTGCTTTTGCTAGGAGATTCAAGAAGTTTATGAAGAATCCCAAAGACGGAAGAAGTCCATCATTCAGCAGAAAGCCATTCCAGAAGGTCAAAACAACAGAAAGCAGTGGTGAGCTTCTCTGTTACAACTGCAGACAACCTGGACATTTCAAAGCAGAATGTCCACATCCAAGAGTGTCCAAGAAACAAGGGCATGATGGAGAAAAGAAGAAGTATGAAGACAACTCCAGAAGGAGAAAAGCACTTGTGACAGAACAGCTTGAGAAAGACCCTCTGTCAGAGACAGAATCTAGTTCTGACTCAAATTCTGATGAGGCCTTCTGTTGCCTTGATACTGAGACAGAAGACCTATGCCTCATGGCTCATTCTGATGATGATGTAACCTGTACTTCTGAATCTAGTTTTTCTTCGGTAGACTTAGCTTTTGATTCT